GCAGACCTGATCTGGCCCTCAGGACTGGGGGAGGAGGGCAGTACAAGGATGTGATAATCCAGTAAGTAAAGGAGGATGGGTCCTCGCTGAGCCCAGACTCCCAGGACCACTTGCCTTCTCTGTGCGTGTGCCCATGTGTGCATGTACTTGTGTGCCTACACCTGATGGGTGTGTCTGCATGGACCATAGGTAGGTGTGAGCATCTCTGTGTGTGAGTCACCTGATGGGTGGGCTGACCTCGGCCCTGGCACCTCACAATCCACATGTGTCAATGGGTGAGGAGAGGGTCAGCTCAGTGAGCATTTCCCCTCCATGGGGGATCCAGGATGTATAGATGACACTGTCCCCTTCTGTGCTCTGGGACAGGTTCTTGTCATAGCCTAAGTTTGCTGGTGGGGACACTGATATGACACACTCCAAGTTGCCTATGCAGGCTGGGAATGGAGTGCCTTTCACCTCACCAGGTTCCGCTGGGACCACCCTCTCTGACGTGGGACCCTCAGCTTCAGCTGGACACCACTGCCCTGTCCCCTTCTTCATCCCCTCAGAATCCACCTGCCTTTCTTCCCACATATACGACTCTTATTGCACTCAGGGACAAGTATCCCAGGCACAGAGTCTCAACAGGTGAGGCAGACTTGGACCCTGCCCTGGAGGTATTCATGTCCCTCAAGCCAAGGGCACCAGGGAGTTGGACACCAGGCAGATGAGGTAACCAGGCTGTGAAGGGAACCACTGAGATGCTCAGGGTACCCAGAGGCTAGAAAGGGGAAGGCAAAGGAGAGGAGTCAGAGGGGAAGTATCTTAGCAGAGGGTGCAGCATGGGGAGTCAGGGGTCCAAAGCTGGTGGGGAACAGCTGGGGAGGCAGCCTGGGGTCTCTTCCTCTGACCTTGCCCTGCTAGGTCACAAGAAAGCAACATGTCCACGGGTCTGCAGGGCTGAGATGCCTGCCTGGGAAGCTGTGCTCCCTCTGTCCTCAAACTGCAGCACGGAGCTGCTGTGGCCCCTGAGGACCTCTCCTTGACCCAAGAACAGAGTCCTAGTTGGGTCTGGTCAGTATCTTCTCTCCCTGGGGAACCCCTCCACTGCCTTCTCCGCCCTTGGCTTGAGGTCACCTTCAGTCTGAGGCTCCCCTGCTCAGGGCCCCTCCAGGCCGCCCACTCCACTAACCCTGACTGGTGAGGATCCGGGAGCCAGCAGAGCCAGCTGGACTTCACCAACACCCCGTTCCGCCTACCCCCACCACCCAAAGCCAAGCCTGAGGTGGGCCAGGTCCCATGCCAAGTTAGCACCTTATTCCCCGTTAGATGGTCCGATCGGTCTTCAAAGCGTATGCAAGGATAGCTGTATTCACATCCATCGGGAAGAGGGCAAAACCAAGTACCCAGCTGAGTCAGCACTAGGGAACCTGTGGGGGTGCTTGGCTAGATGGAGGGCACAGGATGGGGTTTCACACAGGGAGGCACCTAGGCCAGGCCACGGTATTGGGTGGGGGAGGGTCTGCAGCAGCTCCTGTTGCTAAAGCTGTGACCTGAAGTGGCCAGCAGGGGTTGCTGAGAGGAGAGTGAAGTAGGGTACGGGGGTCCTCCTATCTAGTGCCACACCTTGTACCTGGGTTTGGTTCACCCCTGTTCGTCTCTGAGACTCCCTCCACAGTCCTGTG